GTCGGGCGCCAGTGCCCGCGGGGGGCCGGCAAGGCCGCCTCCCCTTGGGGTGCCCTCACGCGACGCGGAAACCGACGTCGCGGGCAAAAAGAAAAAAAAAAGGGAAAAAGGAACTTTTTTTTCCCATCCCCCTTCAAACTTGGCGCGACGGAAAACACCTCCGATGAAACATCGGGAAGCGCAAAATGCGTCAGCTGCTTTCAGGGCGTGGGGTTTGCCAGGGGGGAAACCTGCCGGCTTCCTGAGTCAGGGAAGGGCCTCCCCTGGGTTTCTCCCAGGGAGTATCTGGAGTTAAAACCTGCTCCCTGTGGCACCAGAAAGAAAAGTCACAGGGGTGCCGGATAAACGGGTTTGCAATCCAAGCTGGGGAGGGACACAGCATGCTAAGAAATTTAATGTCCAAATATAACAACGTGGAGTATTTGTTACGCTTTGGGTATTTCAAAGATTTTCAAAGATCACTGCCAAAAATGGTAACAATTCAGCAGAGGTAAGAGACTGCTAAGTAATAGCTAGAAAACTTAATTCCTTTCTTGGCATTTGTTTTATTTACTTTTGGAAAAACCCAACCAGTTAAAGTTTGGGGTTGAAGGGGCTGCTTTTCCTTCCATGAATCTGTGCAGGTTCAAGACTAAAGGATTAAAATCTGATGTTGGTTTAGAGGAAACCCACAGGAAGAGGAAAGCATCTCCCCTGCTCAATAGGCAGACATCTCTGCTGCATTAGCTTCCACCAGAAGCAGAAACAGTTTCAGAAGTGTCCTGGGTAACAATGCACCAGCTGAGCACAAGCAGATTAGTTCTCTTCATAGGACATATTTTGTGTTGATCCCACTGCTACCACAGCAGGTTGCTATGCATCATCATGACTAGTTGGTGTTCAGGCAGGTTAGAGCTGCACAGCTCCCTTTAAACATTGCTCCAATATAACAGATGCTCTCAGACATCCCATTCCAGTGCCAACTTTGAGGCTGAATGCGAGTCCCATTTACCATCAAGACCCTACACAACCAGCCTTTTTAGCTGTGAGGGTGATTTACTTGTGTTTCCCAGGTAAAACCACTCCTGAGGCATCAAAGTAACCGGCAGGAGGTGCAGAGAGTCTTAGTCACCCCAGGGGAGTGTTCCTGTTCAGACTGTCTGCCTCTTTTTCTGGCATTACTCCTTTAATTTATTATCTTTCTGGTTAAAACAGAAAACATGAAGCCCAAATGCATATTTCCCAGTGACAAAGTCTTCAGCTTGTCTTGTTTCTAGAATAACCCAAGAAAATGAGCATAAAGACCCAGTATGTACTGGGTCTTTGCAGCAAAGAATGTCTCTCATTTCTGCTACAGCTTTACTGTTATATATAATTCTTGTGTGTGTTGAATTTTCCCCCGAGTGGGCTATTCCTTATCTTTTCTCTCCTTCACTTTCTGAAGGCATCCAACTATAGAAATCCTGGCTTAAATGCAGCCCAGCGGAAGAAAAATGCCTTAAAATCTGAACTTACAGAAGAGCAAAAACAGGAGATCAGAGAAGCTTTTGATTTGTTTGATAGTGATGGATCTGGAAGCATCGACGTAAAAGAACTGAAGGTTTTCAAACTTCTTTTTCTTGGATGGAAATATCTTTGGTCTCAAAATTGTCGCTGCTTTTTCTCTTTGTCCAGCCCTAACTATTTTAAAATAGTTTTGGAGTATGAAGCAGAGTAATGGTTTGCTGCCATGATTGAATTTGGAGTGTATCACATGGGTGACCTGAGAGAGCTCTCTATGCAATACAGAGCAGGCAGGCTTCTCTTAGTACATGGAGAGTAGGTCAGGTAGCTTTGAATAGCTGAGTATTAGAGGAACTAAACAGTTCCTCTGTATAGGTACACACAGGCCACGTTCCAGTTCTCATAAATGGCTAACTTTTGTTGCTTTGGCATAAATGTCACAGTATCAGATTTTCTCTTCATCTCAGAACTAAACACAGTTTTTGCACACATTCAGGAAAGACAAGTATTTTCATATATGTAATAAAAAATAACCTGTTTCTTAATTTAAAAAAGAACAAAACAAGAGATCTGAGTTGCATTTTAGTAGCAATTTAGGTAGCGTGCATGTACATGCATATACACAGTGGTACAAGGGGGAAGATAATATTCTCAGGTCTTTCTCCATGTTTTTGTGTGTCTGATCTTTTTAAAAGTGTGAATCTTTTAATTATCTGCTTGACCTTGAATTCTCATACACACACTCTGCCTCACTTTCTGCACGTGTAACCTAGAAGCAGGAGTTACTTAAGCTTATGGCTTATCTCAGGCTTTATTTGGAAGTATTTATGCTTGATTAAGGGAGAGCATGTTGTTTGAACAGAGGATACATTTTAAAATACAGTTCTTAAAACTGAAGTGTTTGAGCACCATCCTTTTAATGCTATAGTGAGTTTTTTTCCCAAAGTAATTCAGAATAACAGATATTTTACAATAGAAAGTGTTCCCCTCTGAAAGACAAGATGAAATGCTTTAATCTATCCTATTACAAGAAACTGGTCCGAAAATACACTTCAGTTAAATATAAAATTCCTGGTGAGTTGGCACTTTGAAGTAGAAGAGCATTTAGTGAGAAAATTTCTGCCTAATACTGTTGATTTCCACCAGAGCATACAGGAAGATCATATGTTCACAATTCCAATCTTGCTCTAGTTGCATGTTGTTGAAGCTTCAGTCTCTAAATTAAATATGCTGTCATCATCTGGCACACCAGGAATTGTGAAATTACTAAGAAACATCCAAGTAGCAAAATCCCTGTTCTAGAACAAGGTGAAATGCCAGAGCCTGGTTGTAAACTATGTTAATATGCAGCATTTGTACAACAATCTACACAACTGTTTTTACAGTAATAACTTGTTCAAAGGGAGGGAGATCACATCCCTGGTCTCCAACCTCATTTTGATAATCCAGTCCCATTAGGAACTATGTAGATTAGAACCTTTACCTAACTCAGACACAAAAAGATTCTCCTAATTTCAGAAGTATATGCATGTTCCACATGGATTTAAAGAGGAAATACGTTTGCGTTTTAAGAATATCAAGCCTACACTATGACTGTTTGGAAAGTTGAAACAAGCTGGTAAGCGATACCAGGACGTTTTCATTACAGTGAGTTGTTGTTATTTCAGTTTTGGACAAGGAAGTTAAAATTTAGGGCAGCTGTTGACACTGTAATCCTGGTGGCCTCCTAATAGAATTGTTTTTTGGCACAGGTCGCAATGCGTGCTTTAGGCTTTGAGCCAAAGAAGGAAGAAATTAAGAAAATGATAGCAGATATTGACAAAGAAGAAAGTGGCACCATTGACTTTGAAGACTTTTTGGCTATGATGACACAAAAAATGGTAAGAATTCTTAAAAGAAATTTTTGTGAAAGCATTAAAAAAAAAAACTGAACAGGAGTATATTGGTGGAAGGTGTTTTCTAATTAATGTTATGTTTTGTTTTAGAGTGAAAAGGATTCAAAAGAAGAAATCTTGAAAGCTTTCAGATTATTTGATGATGATAGCACAGGAAAAATTTCATTCAAAAACTTGAAAAGGGTTGCCAAGGAGCTGGGAGAAAACTTAACAGATGAAGAACTTCAGGTAAATTCTGATTTGCCAGAGCTTTTCTAACAGGCACAAACCAATCCTGTAGCTACTATAGATCCTGTGGAAATTTATGCCTATACAAAAAAGGGGCTGGGAAGTCAGAAATACAAAGAACAATCAAATACATAGTTTTGTTTTCACATAAAGTGCTTCTATTTGTTTTAATGAATGGAGGATCTTTTGTTCAGAGTCCAGTGCCTGACCAAATGTACATGGTGTTTTGCAGGAAATGATTGATGAAGCTGATCGAGATGGAGATGGAGAAGTAAGCGAGCAAGAATTTTTGAGAATCATGAAGAAAACTAGCTTGTATTAATACCTGTTGCTTTGCTGTAAGCTGCTCCAAAAGATAACCTGGAAAAGACTTAAAACCTGGGCTTGTCTCTCCTGCATATAAAGAAAATCTGAAAGGGCAGATTTTTGGTTCATTCTTTTTCAGCAAAGTTAACAGGGAAAGGGGCGGCTTCAGTATCCAGAACTGTTAAAAAGCAGTATTGCAGAAGTGAAAAGGAAGGATTAACTAAACCTGCAAGGCACGGGTCCCCCTCCCCTTGAAAAATGTATTGCCATTTGGGATAAAGAACGCTGTATTTCAGCTATTTAACTAAAAGACATTTGACTTGTGATGTGAAGATTCCCACTGCTGCTGGGAAAGGCCACTTTTGACTTTCCTAAGGCTGCAGAATGAAGGTACAATACAAGCACAGCATTTTTATTTGTTTTAAAGGCTTTTAGGTTATCTTTGGGGATTTGTCTCTTTTTGTTTATTTGCCTGGAAAACTCTAAAACCAATTGCGTATCTGTCCTTTATTTCTGTATGAAACAGTTTGCCCATGGGAGGTTGTTTTTGGACCTAACAGGAAAATCATGTAGATAACCAGATTTGGTTCTTCATTGTGCCATCAGATGTTTTCTGTTTATCGGAGAATCTGAAACCCTGTTTATTTGAATGTAACATTCTTAGACTATCAAAGTTTATTGTATAACCAGTCAGCACCATGTGCCATTTTTCTTACTCCCAAGATATTATAGAGTTGCTGTTATGCCAGGATTTTAAGTATGTAAAAAGTTCAGTTCTGTGGTGCACTAGGGTAGAATTTGTCTTTGGCTGTTTAGTCAAGTTGCAGGGAGGACTTGTATCTGAAGTGAAAAAATAGCTCACCTTGGACATCTTTAAAACACTGAATATATTTAGCTCTGTGTAATCCAAATTCATTTCAGACACCACAATTTGTTTGTTGTTTGATTTTTTAGGAGAACCTTCATTTTCTTGAACGTTTCTTGCATATACTGTCAATCTAGGGCTCACTGGAGAGCCACATTTCCTTCTGTATTATGGCAACAGAGCAGTGACACACAACATGACATTCGATTATGTGGTCTACAGGAGGGTTTATCCTTGGGTCCTGATAATCAGCTTCAAAACTACAGGGAAATTACATAATCCTAAATCACAGCTTTCTCTAACAAGGTGCCCAAAGGAGAGTGTTACTGCGTACAGAGACATGGCAAATAGGTAGCAAAATATCAGAAGGGTAAAAGGGAAGAGGAGGGAAAGAACAGTATTTCACGAGTATCTGTTAAGTTCTCTCTTTCCTTCAGACACCTTCTGCTGCTTGGCAGCATTAAGGAGATTTGTAGAAGGGAAGAGGCAGCTCCTGGATTAGCTCCTGGTTAACAGCTGCTTCAGCCCTCATGAGCTGCAAGTGCCAAGCAGAAACAAGAAGCGTTCATTTATGTATCTTCTCCGCACACAAATGCAAACCTGGCATGTTCTGCCCCACTCCCCCAAGTTTTGTACTCTGAACAACTCTAAACAGACCCTCTCTAACCTGTACAGAACTAGGCTTACCCCTGTGGGAGAACAAGGATATTGTGTAGGATCCTGGAAAACTCAATAGACCTGTGAAGTCCCTTATTAACATATTCAGTGGCAGTAGATGTAACCTACAGTACTGTGTTTTAAAATGCCTTATTAATTTTGTATAAGTGTGAAATAAAACTGTTTTGCAAGGTAAGGACTTGGTGGACTTTATAACTTGGTGTGCGTACTATGAAAACTAAATTTTCAAAAACAATTTTGAAGTGTTTAAATGGTTCACAAAGTACATTTTCAGTTCCATTTATCTTTTCTTTCTAAGACAGAAATTTTTAGGTGCAGAAGTCTGTCACTTAATTCCTCTTCCACTTCCACTATGCTGATTAAAAGTTTCTAGTACTAACCACTTAGATTCAGACAGGGAAATCTGAAGTTCTAGTTGATTATGGGGAATCCCAGAGTTTGTTAGAATGACTATACTTTTTGTAATGCTGCCACAGGAAGAGATTGGTAACTGTTGGTTACTTATGATAAACGTCACTTCTCTCTTCCTGTTCTAATCCCGTTACCTGACTTCTGAAGGTAGGAAAAAGACACACAATCATACCTACCATACACACTACAATGAAGTGTTATTTCTGGCTTGCCCCTTTATCTCTTAAGTCTGGAATGTCAAGCGGTGGCTGGATTACCACAAAACTTGAAAGTGTTAATGTGATATTGTTTCATGCTGCTTTAGTTCGTGTCATACTGAGAGACATCTTGTTCCCTCTTAGTACTTTCAGTGCCCTTGTGAATCCTCCCTGTACCTTCTAGAATTTTATCTTTCACATTCTATACATGGTGGAGGAAAAGGGAGCCTGACTGAAGCCCTTAGCAGAACTCAGAGTTAGGTTTGTTGTGAAGAACGCTTCACACACACTTTTAGTGTGCTGGAGAAAGTGACCTGGATCAAGGAACCAGGAAGGTACCTAGCAGACATTTTTCCTGGGCTCTGTTCTAGTGCCTACTTGAGTAGCTCACCCTAAATGAAGAGGCTGCACTAGAGGAGATAAGTCACTTGCACCTGTGTTCTCCTCCTCCCATTCACTCTGTTCTCTTCCAGGAAGCCTTCCAGAAGACTTGGATTCAAATCATTTGCACTAAAGCACCAAAAAGGAGGCAAAGCGCGGATTTGGGTTGCCTTGCATAAAAGGACTCATCCCTCAAGGCACCTGACTCCAAGTGGTCATGAGTGTGAGTGCACAGCACAGGTACCTGGTGCAGAGGGGCACGCTTCAATCCCAGCTCTGATTCAAGTCTCTCTCTCTCACAAGGGGATGAAGAACTGGCAGGCACAAGAGCTGACAGTCTCGCTAGAGGGCATCCAGTTACTAGTGTGTAAGATAAGTGATGCTCATTTCCCTTCTCTGTGGCTTGCAATGATAATCGAAAGTAGGGTAACAAACACCATCCAGCTGGGGCCTGAAATATGTGGTTGGATACAGAATTGCTTTGTTTTCTGAAAAAAAGAACACAAGGCTTCTCACACAACTCCAGTGCAAAATGCTGTAATTATTAGTTGGTTGTTCAAAGCTGAACCCCCAAACCACACTTACTGAAACTCCCACTCTGTATCAGTAATTACAGACATGCTCTCAGGGGAGTGGAGAACTGAACATGCCTTTCACAAAGCTCCCCCGGGTGCTGCGACCACTGCTCTATAGAGTTATTTTCTCTCTTTGGGAATATTGCTATCAAATGGAATCACTCCAAGCAGAGAGACAGAGCCTGACCCACTGCAGGATGCTTGTGGCTCTCCCTTGGGATGTGGGAAAGCTGGAATAGTGGTCTTCCTTCAAGTCAAGAAGAACAAGGATTTGAGAATTAGTCTCTTGTCCCCAAGGTGAGTGACTTGATCTTTTAGGAGACTTGTCTGTATCAGAATGTGTCTTGTTCCAATGCCCTTGTGGCATGGTGTGTGACCAAGAAATAAATTTTCAGGTAACTGCCTGGTCAGAGGTCAAAAGCATGATAGATGGACACCTGCCTTCACTCAAAGGCAGTTCAGAATATCAAGAGCTTTCAAGCTCACATCTACTGCTGGAAAAAACAGAGGGGCCTATGAGGAAGAGATGTGGAGTTAGAGTGGAGCAAGACAGAAGACCTGCAAAATTTGATGCTTCCAAACCTGACTTACACAGGCCCAAATTCCTTAAGCAGTAGAGAGGGAAAGGGTCTTAAAGCAATGATCCAAATCTCTCTGCTGAGTCAGGTGCCCAGCAGATCTGGCTCACAGCAAACCTGCCCCCAGGCAGTAAAGCAGAATATGCACAAGCAGTTTGGATTTCATCCCAAAAGGGACTGACATGGTGCCAACCATGGTGCCGAGGGGTCCATTGGCATGGAGTTAGGGACCTAAAACTGTAGCTCTTGACTCCTCTGGAGTCCTGACTGCTATTAATTACTAAACTTTAAATTGCTCAATTATTTTTTTTCTTTTTGCTTGTCTGACATAGATTTGACACAGTGAATTAAAGCAAAGCAAAGGTGTCAAACCTGAACTGCAAATGTGCAGAATTCTGGGAACAGCTGCAGCAGTTTCCCATGCCTTTATTATTCCTCCCATGTTGGAATACACACACGCTGTATATGCACATGCAAATCTTGCAGTCTTATTTAACAAGTTTCAAGTACTTTTGCCATGCAAAAAGTACACATTCAAGTATATGTTTAGAACCTTCACTTGGAAAGGGGGTGGGGGGCTTTCTGTAGTATTTCTGTCTGAAATAAGATAGGATCTGTGTACTCTAGAGTCATCATGGAGCAGAAGTCTAGCCCTTCTTTCTCTGGGGAGAAAATCCCACTGGGCCAGTGAGGGCTATGAGAACTCCCTGCACCAGGTTCAGGGTCTGCAATGAACTGGTGCAGTCTCAGCAACCTGGCCCTGGTTGTCAAGGCTATTTTATTTCTTCTGAAAGCTTCTGACTGTTTCTAGTAGTGACATGTTACACTATAGAAAGCCTTCCCCCAACATTCAATAAAGCAAATAAAATAGGTTGCTGGAGGAAACAAATGCAACAACTACCCTAGAACATTTCCAACATAATTTTAAAGCACTCTCTGCCCAAAACCATAGCTTAGCTCAAACAAAACAAGCAAAACTGACACATCCTCATTGCTCATGTGCAAGCTTCCTTCCTAGTAGGGTTCTCTCTCCACGTACCTCTACTCAATTCCCTCACCATAGAGAAAACAAATACAGCCTTTCCTTTAAATTCTTTCAGACCTCCAAATGAGAAGTACTATGAAAGATCTAAACATGAAGGAAAAAACTGACTGCAAACATTGCAGATCTGATTTCTAAACACTAAAAGTTATTTCAGTACAAACAAGTGACATTTACACCTACTTCTAAAAATGTGGTATTGGATCATCTCAATTTCAGCTTTTTAGAACTCTATGTTCCTCATGTTAAAGCAAAAGCTAAGGTGGCAGGTCCAGATGTTTTCTCTTTA